TTTTAATTAGTTTCCTTAATCATTTTCTTTTCTCCAAAGGTTGTAAATATTCTGTAGCCTCTGTGTCTGTTGACAGTGAAGGAATAAGATTTGTTTGTATCAAAACAAATAAAACCTTATAACTCCCAGTGGTAAAATTTGATGCCTCATGAAAGGAGAATATAATTTCTGTCTTCCTGTTCTAGTATTTTACATAGTTGTAAAACCATGATTTTAAAAAGTTCATGCTTTTCTTCCATGGGCCAACTTAAATATCTCTATTTTAATGTGCACTTTGCACTTTTAGGCAGAATTTTGCAGTTATATCTAATGGTTATTTAGGAAACTCAATCATATTTCAGTCAAACTACAACATTAAATTAGGGAAGGAAACCTGCTTCTTTATAAAACTCGTACCTAACAAAGCAGCGTAGGACTTCCAAGTCATGCTGACTTAATGTGGCTGGGATATGCATTCATTTATACAGTTTGTCCTTAGAGAACATATAGTAGGTTTTAATCTAGTTACACAGAGTTGTAATTTTTGCTTTTGAATTTCTAATAAATTATAGTGAAAGGAGCCATCCCACACATCAGTCCATAGTTCTATTGTCCGAGTGTATGGGTACATGGAAGGAAATAAATCTATTAACTGACTTCATAGTTTGAGGTGCAATTCTCTTACAGAGTGGGCAGCCTTGCATTTTTCAAGTGGTGGTTTGCTTTCAGGCTCCACCTTAGGTGTTCAGAAACTGTGTTTGGTAAAATTATGGATGATTTAAGGGATATATCCTCCTTTTTCAAGTAAGGCAAGTCAAATTACAGATTCAGGCACTACCCCCTTGGCGTCTATTTCTTTTTCTCACTTTAATTTGAACCATGTATGTGACTCTTTCTATGTGACAAAATAATCTTTAGTTTCACAAAAAAAGTGGATAGTCATAATAAGGGTTATTGGAGCAAGCTTTCATTGGGCCAGACTTGAAAACAAACTGACTTGTTGTACATGGACTTGGAAACCTTGCATCAATCAGTTGGATTTCAGACTTAGTACCTACAATTTTGAAAAATGTCTATAGGTCCTCCTACTATTCACTTTCCCGTGAGTGTTTCAGTTCAGCATTGTAAAATATTTGAGACCATATTTTTACCCTCTTTGCTACTCTGCCCTGAAAATTGCTCTGATATGAAACTCACTACATGGAGCAACGGTGATAGAGAGCAGAACAGGTTAATGTGATGAAATATGCTAAATAAACTTGATGATGCATCCTGTAACTAAAGAAGTAGGGTCCCATTGTTAGTCAGAGGTCTGTGGCTTCGCAGCCTCTGTGAAGTGTCTGAAAAAGGCAACACCTAGAAGTGGGAGATTTTCCTGGAAATGCGCAAACAGTTCCAGTAAAATATAAATATATGGTTTTCCGGTTCCAGTATCAAGCTAAAGGTTTCCTTGCAATATATATGATGGTAATTTAATGGCTTAGCTTTTACCAATTTTAACCAAAAATAGACCTCTAAATTTAAAATGTCATCAATGCCACACTGATTCATAGGGAATTATACTCAACATTGAAACTAAGCATTGAATTCTGTTGCTCTTCTTTCTTGCTAGCTTTTCATGACAAATGAATTAGCTTTCCTGGTTCCCTGATTAAAATGGCCATAGAATAGTCTGCGTGTCTTCACGATGATGCTTTCAGGTTCACATTGCTGTTGTGTCTGTTCTTCTTGGGGAGGGGTGCCCCCCCAACTCCCAAGTAAATCATACATGGAGGCTTATTCTTAATTATGAATGCTGGCCTTATCTTGCTTATTTTCTATCCAACTTTTCTTAACTTTAAAATATCCATCTATCTTTTCCTCTGGGCTTTTCCCGTTTTCTTACTTCTGTAAATCTTACTCTTACTCCATGAATTGCTGTGTAACTGGGTGGCTGACTGCTGGAGTCCTCCTCCTTTTCTGACTCCTAGATCTCCACTCCCAGTTTTCTTCCTCTATTTATTCTCTCTGCCTGCCATCCCTGCCTATCCTTTCTCTTGCCTTGTTATTGGCTGTTCAGTTCTTTATTAGACCTTCAGGTGTTTTAGACAGGCGCAGTAACACAGCTTCACGGAGTTAAACAAATGCAACACAAACAAAAGTAACTCACCTTAAAGTAATATTTTACTACAGGTTCATCTTTTTTTTTTAATCATAGAAATAAGGAGGATTAAATAGCTAATCAAAGTTGTTGGCTGTGGTGGAAGCATCTATAGTTTATAATCTCTGATATGTTATTGCATGATACACTAATGTAAATCATCGATCTAAATGTCCATTAGTATCTATAACCACATATTAAAATAGTTCTATTTTCCACTAATGCACAATAATGGGCAACTCTTTGACCCAAAACAATAATTTCAGCTCTATTTGCTTTCAATGTACTTCTATACTTTTTTGACTCTGATATTTAATTTTAAGTATTTATTTAAAGAATTCAGAGACAGTCTGTTTCTAAGAGTTAGTGGATCCCAATGGGTGATGAGGCCAGCCAATAAGCGCATGGCTTCTTTCAGCAGTCTCCAATACATGTCAGTACTGGGATTCTTCAGAGACTGTTAATTAGTTACAGCACGGTTCTCTCATGAGCTCCTTTGTTGCAGCAGTCATGTTCTACCAGGATGAGAAGAATGTGGTTCAAGGTCGGCCCACACTGAGTGGATCATGTTGATTGTCCAGAGAACTCATTCATTAGTGTCTTGAGGAATAAATACATATTTTGCATTCTTTACTTTTAGAGAATTTACTCATTTTTCTTTCAATTGTATTAAGTTCTATTCAATATATATTAACTATATACTGTAATTATGTGAAATATAATTATAATTCAATATGTAGTAAATAACAAAACTGTTAAAATATAGTGAATTTTTAACTAATATTTATTTATTTATTTAGATTTTGGAGATTATTATATAACTACATCAGTTTCCCCTCGGTTTCCTCTCTCCAAAACCCTTCCATGTAACTCTCTTTACTTTCTTTCACACTCATGGTTCATTTTTTCATTAATTATTGTTACTTTCATATATAATCCTTAACACATACCTACAACTTGCTCAGTCTGTATAATGTTAATTGTGTCCCTATTTTCTGGGTTGACCATTGGTTAAATTAACTGGTGTGCTCTTCCAGGCAGAAAACAACCTCTCCTGCTCTCAGGATTTGTTACTTGCCTGTAGTTCTTTCTATAGGATGGAGGCCTTGTGGGGGTTCTACCTCCTACCATTGTACAGCTATTCTTGTCCTTCTTCAGCTCATGCTTAGTGATAATTTATGAAATTGCTAACATTATATTAAGAAGGTACATTCCTCATGAACAGCAATTATAGCCTTTAACCGTATACTACACTTAATCTTAGACAAATGAGTTTCCCGCTCATTTGAAAAAAAAAAAAAAGTTTATAACTACTCTCATCTGAGCATTGACCTATTAAATCAAATACTTATTCTGGGGTTTAAATTATATATTCATTGATTTCCATGCTGTTTTGCTGGGGAAGTATTCCCTGAAAACCTTGCAAGTCTTAGCATGTTCTGCCATCATATATTTAACCTCGAATGTTTCTTGCTATCCATGCAAGTGTTTCCCTGTGTCAGTCACCTTTATTAACATTGATATCATCTATTATAGTAGGAGGTGGTGACTGGTCATGTATTTTCCAAAGTAGATTTGATTTTCTTTTCAGATAATGAAATTGATAAAAATATAGAAACTTTTCATTATGGAAGTGTATCTTTTCTGCTGTTTTTAGAGCATATGCATGGTGTTAAAGCCAAGGAAAAGTTAGAATAAAGGATTTTCAAGAATTCATCACAAAATAATTAATTGTTTGAGAATTATATTTCATAACTTTCATTTTAGCATTATGCATTGTGGATTTGTACAAAAATGTCACTTAGTACTCTGATAGTATGTACAAGTATTATATGTCAATCATATCAAAAATTGTGACAATAATCTCTAGTTGACCTCTGGATTATGCATTGACATTAACAATTATCTGTTGTTAGGCAATTTACATAATGCATTCTGTATTTTATATAAAGGAAAGACAATTATAGTATACCTTGAAACACATTTCTACTGAGAGAAATAATAATTCTTTTTTTTTTTTTTTTTTTTTTTTTTGAGACAGGGTTTCTCTGTGGAGTTTTGGTGCCTGTCCTGGATCTCACTCCATAGACCAGGCTGGCCTTGAACTCACAGACATCTCCCTGGCTCACAAGTGCTGGGATTAAAGGCATGTACCACCACTGCCCGGCTGAGAAATAATAATTCTATTAAAATAAAGTATATAAAATTCAAGTTTTAATCACAGTTGAAACCAATAACTTTATAAATTTTGTCTTGAGTAGAATTTAATCATTGTTTATGACTAATCATATTTCCTCTTATGAATTATCCCTTTAACTTAGACTGTGATTGATTATAATATAAAGATGCATGATGATTGATTACAATCAAGAGGTACCATTCCCACTAGATAGTTTTAATTAAAAATAATTTCTTTTATTTTTGGGGATTATAGCATAAAACCAAGGAGTTTGCTGTGATATGGTATCTCCATTGGTTATTTTTTTTTTGCTGTCAAATATAAGCAGTATCACCTAGGCACAATGATAGAATTTTTAAAGCTACATTGGGGACAAAGTAAAAGAAAATTATAAAGAAGTAGTGGTATGAGACCTGAAGCAAAATTCAAAATTATGTGTGAAACCCTGGGGCTTAGCATGTGCCACCATGGATTTCCTTTGAGATGTGTTTCTGTACATTTTTAGCTCTGCCTTTTGTAAGTGTGTGATTATAAACCCAGGTTTGGTACAGTAGATAATAGAAAATAAGTTATAATAAAACATGCAAGTGAGCGGAGTGAAATAGGCTAAAATATGACCTGATTTATTTCATTCTGAGAATGTAAAATGAATGGCACCCCACTTGCTAAGGATTCAAGTTTGGTTTGGTTTTGTTTTCTTAGCAATGGTTGTTTTGAGCAGCCTGGAACCAAATACGACTTATGAAATCAGGGTTGCAGCAGTAAATGGAAAAGGGCAAGGGGACTACAGCAAAACAGAAATATTCCAGACACTGCCAGTCCGTAAGTAGTCATCTCTACCCTCTTCTCTGTCACCAGATCCTTCTCTTGAGAATTTAATGGGATTTTTAAATGCAGAAAAGCATTTCAATACTTTAGGGAAGTGAATTATCTCTCTGTTGATTTTTTTCTGAGTTAGTGGCATCTTGGACTATAAAAACAGCATTTCTCTAAAGTTGGGAAGAAAAGAAAGAGCATAGTGGAATATAAAAACTAAATCTGCTCTTAGGATATCTCATATTTATAGTGCGATTGATAAGATTATGTCTGCAGATTATATTATGTTCATAGAAAATGGTTATGTGTCCTCTCTGTTAATGAGACACAGTTATTATTCTACAATTCATGTGAGCTGTAAGAAAAAGGAATACCAAACTCAATTAATCTGTTACAAATGTGACTACAGCAGGCCCATAATCATCTGTGGCCTTTTCTCAAAACTATCCTGTTTTGAGTTATTTTAAGTCAACTGGGTTTATCTATTTTTTTAAATATTAAAAGGAATTACCTTCATATTATTTTTATAATATAAGACAATAATATAGTGAAGAGGACTGAACATTGCTGTTGCAAAATCTGGGCATGAATCTGCTTGTTGTCAACCAAAATTGGCCACAATAAATTAGTACTCTCCAAGTCTGGGCAATATTCTCAGAATCCATCATGTGATGCCCCTTTCTCCATTCTCATAATACAATTCTTTTATTTATGGGTTGATTAAATTTTATACAAACTGAAGACATTATTTTATCTATTTGACTGCAAAATAACCCATATTGTTGTATTTTTCATTTTTAAAATAAATTGTATGTTACAATAAAGTAACATTCAGTGCTTGTGGTTATCTGCATTAGACCTATAAGAGATTGGGCACTAACTTTTCATCATGGATAAAGAGAGAGAGCTCCCAAAGCCCTACCTCTCCCCGAGGGACAACTGGTTGTTGGCTGAGGAAAGGAGTGTCCTTTTCTTCAGTGTTGTAGCCACTGATATGCTGTCCTTTCCATATTAAACAACTTCCTCTCACACTCAATTAAATTCTGTGGTTGCTCACTGAGAAAGATGAAAGGTAGAGATGGTTTTCAACAGGAAAGAAAGGGGAATGAAGTGAAAATGATTTAATTTTCATTACATAAATTTATGAAATGTAAGCAAACTATTAAATATACTATTTTTAAGTTAAAGTTTTAAGTCTATAAATAAATACATCCTATGTATGTAAAGGATGTATTAAAATTTAATGCTGAAAATTTAGTTTCTAATTTTTAATTATCTCAAAATTCTATTATTATAAGAAAATGATCACAGTGTCATTTTAAATGAAACTCTTCTGTATATAGTGGCATTATTTAATGAACCTCTTTAGTATAACATGGAAATTCCCATTTTAAGCTTAGAAATTGTACTAAACTATCTGAACTTTAAAGTTTATTTTATGAGTGAGCATCAGGTTATGCCACACAAAAAGACAAAACATCTAAAGTAAACCAAGTAAAATGTCATGTATTTGGAGTACATAAGGTGTTGGTTTAATTAAGAAGTAGCATCATTAGGAATGTGAAGAAGGAGTTCATGAAGAACTTTTGTGTTCCTTCTTAGGGGAGCCAAGTCCTCCTTCCATACATGGACAGCCAAGCAGTGGGAAGAGTTTTAAAATCAGCATCACCAAACAAGATGATGGAGGGGCCCCTATTTTAGAATACATTGTGAAATACAGAAGTGTAAGTACCTTTTGATTATTATTTTGTATCTTATTTCCTGCTACATGATGAGTCACCATAATCTCAAAGATTGGTCAGGAATGAATTTATAATCTATAATGTAAAGGATAAATGTTAATTTTTTCTACTCTTGAAATCCATTTTTATATTTGTAGCCTTTTCTTTTATTAAAGAATAAACATAGGGTTTTGAAATATTTTTATGTTTTTTACCCTAATTCTAGTCTACAATGTGATTTAACAACATAAAATATAACAGTTCTTTCCATGTGACTAGTTTTATCTGCTTTCCACTTGATCTTAGTACATTAGTCTATATCTGTTGGTTCATTATAAATAATGTAGAAAATGTATTAGTAACTTTCCATATTATTGCAACAACAATGATATAATAATCTGATAAAAAGTAAATTAAGTAAAGGATGATTTAACTTGGATCATGATTTAAGAAGCAGTAGTTCATTATGGCATGAAAATCATGTCATGCTCTTTCCTTGTATTGGAAGTAAAGAAGCAAAGAGAGGAATGTTGATATGGCCTTTTCACCATACTGGACTCTAGCCCATGAAACAGTGCCACTCATAATCAACCATAATGATTCCTTTTGCTTATATAGCTCTTTGGACACATTCTCACAGATATTCCCAGAAATGTGATTCTGAGTGGTTCTTTTTAAAACTTTTTTTTTTATTAATTTTGTATAGAGGTATTTTGCCTGCATATATTCTTTTTACCATGTATGTGTCTGGTGCTTATAAAGAGTGTACAATATGCTGATGCTGGAGTTACAGATAGTTGTGAGCCACTATGAGTGATCTGGAAATCAAATTGGGTTCTTCTGGAAGAACAGTCAATGCTCTTACCCATTGACTCATTTCTTTAGCCTTTGTAAGATGATTCTTAATGCTTTCAAATTGACAATGAAAATCAAATGCTGAAGGTAGGAATATTAGCACATCACATCTAAGAACAAGCTATTATAATGAAATAGATCTGTCATTAATATAAAGAATGGTCACTGACGTTTAGTAAAAGGGATAATTTGACTAAAATGTAATTTGAATTGGTGAGTGAAGGACTGCAGACATCACGGCATTGGGTGTTCTTAAAGGTGGCTGGGAAAGGGGATACTGCTTGCTGTGAGAGAGTCAACAATGTCTTCCTACATATATTTCTTCTGTTTCATTATTATATATGATGCCGATGGTCACTGAGAGTGATTGCATCTCAAAACTTTCCTATAAATAATTTTATTTGTATTTTATATAGATATGTTTAAAATTGTAGTTTTATGGTATTTGAATACATTTTAAATATATTTTGTGAATTATGATAATTTCTCAATTTGAATATTACATTTTAAGACATGGAAATGAAATTGATTTTCTAAGGAACCATCAATAATCAATAGTATACACCATTTTAACTTTCCCATGTAATTCTGATATTCCCTTTATAAGGCAGTTCTTTTTTAAATTAATATGCAGTAACATTATTTCCTCTGTCCCTCCTCCCTCCAACAACTTCCATGGCCTTCCACATTCCATTTAAATTCATGATATCTTCTTGTTTAATTATTATTGTGGCACACACACACACACACACACACACACACATACACACACACCACATTCAGACACAACCTGCTAATTGAGTCTGTCTAGTGTTGTTTGCTTGTATCTGTTTTTAGGGATGACCACTTTCTGTTCCAGGTTTCAAACTGGCAATAAAAAGCAGAAGGGTGTCTTTGCATACTCTGTCATAAAGACTCTACATCAGTGAGCCTCTGAAAGGCTCTGTGGACTTTAGGTAGATCTAATCGGACAATAGTATGCCATTTAGACCAGGATTCTTGGAAGTTCTCATTTGAAAATTATGCAGAAAGGAATCACTCTGTCTAAGGAACATAGACCAGAGCTGCATCATTAATTCAACAAGAATAGGTCCTGCATGTATGTTACCTACCTGTAATTGCACCTAGAAAGGTTTTGGTACAAAACACTGATAGGCATTAATGACTTCTCAGGAAGGATGGCAATAAAATACCAGAGTGAGCACTAAAAGACAATGAAATAATAATGTGGCTATATATTTTTTTGTGAATATTTTTACATGAAATTAAAGCTAGGTTTGACTGTATAATGTAATAAATTGATAGTAGAGTAACCCAAACACTACATTCCATGCAGGTAGTTTGGTGATTTCAATCGACAGTAGCACATTTATTTTTTCATGCTATGCCTTTTTAAGCTTCATTGTTACTGGGTTTTAATTGATAAATTGTGTACTTTAAGAGTGCTGTATTATTTCTAATGATTCTAGAAGCATTATTATTTTTGGTTATTTAAGAATGCATCTAGAAACTAAGTATATTACTGCATAAGACATATTTCTTCATTAAAACACAAATACAAAAAGTAATACAATGAAGAAAAATTTTAAGGGACTATGATGGGACTCAGTGGAGGCAAATGTTAGTGTGAATGGGGCTTGTGTTTGATGTTCCTCATATATAAACATTTGAGTAGAAGAGGTGCTACCTCTTATTCACTCAGGAAGCAAATGAGGCCTCATGTGTAGGAAACTACCAGTCACGTTAGAAGGATTCCTCTCTTAAATTCAGTGCTGATCACTTCTTTGTTGAAATATACATTTGGAATCCCAGCAAAGGTAAATATGATTAAAAAGTATTAAAGTCAGCAGTTCTGCTCCCCTCTCACCCCAGAATTACATGTTTATTTGTTAAGTAATCCAGGACTAGGGTTGCATTTCAATATTGCTACCAAGACTGAAATTACTTTCTTTCATATTCTTCTATTCTTAGAACACTTGGCTTTTATTCTTTTTCAGCTTATGCTGTTCTCTTAAGGAGGTGACTGTGCATTGATATTCAAGATGTGGAATATTAGAAAATCAAAGGGAATTTTCTACTGTTCATCAATGTCTGCCCACATTGCATGTTATAGTATTTTAAAATAAAACTCTACTAAACAAAATTAAAATAACATTTATACCGATAGAATGAAATCTGTTGTTGATCTAGACAATGGCTTAGAGAACAAAGGTGTCTGATGCCAAGCCTGATGACCAGAGAGTTCAATGCTTAGGACACATGGTATTAGATGGGAACAAATTTGTATGAATTCTCCTCTGACCTTTCAGTGGACAACTTGACATACCAATGCCTACACATATGCATGCACATTCACAAAATAAATACATTTTAAAATGTAAAAATGATTTTTCTATAGCTTTCTCCATATGAAATGACTAACACAGTAGTCTGGTTTAATGAAACCAAAAACTGCCTGAAATGATAGCAACATTCCATTTATTGTTTTAATTTATCATATGTAGAAAAATACAATAGCGTTTTTGTCTTGTGTAACATTAGGGTTTCAAGAACTCTGTTATCCAGTGTAACGCATTTCACATCATTGGCTTCCACTTACTATAGTGCTAGTACTAGCCCCAAGCCTTGGCTGAAGGCAAACATGTTCCCTTGAGTAACTCCCTATCCATTTAGAGCCAATTATTGTCACAAAATTGACATTATGGATTTTCAAGGATGTATGTATGTGCATATTTTAGTTCTTAGTAAAGACAAAGCTATCCCCAACTGATACCTATTTACAAATTAAAAGTTAGTTTCCTCCGATGGAGTCTCAGTGGGGATATCAGAAACACTTAAGGGTGGACCAAAGAACTCAAAGGTGTTTGTGTATACAGTTTGTCCTGTACTGATTGTAATTTTTTTCTTATTGATTTTTGCTTGTATGTTATTGCTTCAATACTGTATTTCATTTTAATTTGTATGTTGTGTATGTGTTTCTTGTTCTTTTTCTTTGTGATTTTATTTTTCTTCTGGTTTGATTGCTTTTTGTTTGACTGCTTGTTTCCCAAATAGAGCAAAAAGAAGATATGGAATTAGGTGAATGTCAAGGTGGGGGGATTTGGTAGGAGTCGGGGAAGGGGAAATCTGGATCAGAATATATTGCATGAAAAAATTGTTTTCAATTGAAAAAAAGAAAAGGAGAATTATCTAAGGTGATTACCTAATTATTTCTCTGAGTTCATTAAAATTTTATAAGTATAGGCTCAAAATGAATCTTCTCTGACAAGTCATATATATATTGCATATTAGAACATATAAAATTGTTCTACCATAGGCATTGGACTCCAAAAAGCCCTCTTAGGGTTCTCCTTGAATCCCCATGGAAGTCCCTGCCTTGGAGGAGGTGGAAATGAGGGATGGGTTGGGGGGATGACTGCTAGGGGTTTGGAGGAAGGAGGAGAAAGGCACCTGTGGTTGGTATGTAAAATGAACAGAAAATTTCTTAATAATAAAAATAGATAGAAAAATAAATAAATAAATAGATAAATAAATAAGAACATATAATTGTCAAAGTAAAAATAATATTGAAGAGATTCAAGTTTAGACAATGATCATGAATGTACTTCAGTTTGTAAATGCTTGATCATAAGTATACTCCAATTTGCAAGGACATAATTGTTACATTTCTATCTTCAATTACATTGATCATCAAAAGTGAAAATAAAAAAGACATGAAGTTGAAAGGAATAAGGGTAGAATAGAGGAAAATCATAACTAGAATCTGAATATATGGAAATTTTTCTTTATTTGGTCATTCATTTTCTCCTAATTCTCAATCTAATGTAACATTCTCAATCTAATGTAACAGTTGCTTATTATTGTGCTTATCATCTCAATGACTATGTTAAGCTTCCCAATAAAAGAATCCCATTGAGTTAGTCATGATGTCATACAGAAATAAACTTAGTACTTTGGGGATGAGGCAGGAAATTCTCACATGAGAGGATACCCTGAACAACATAGGGATATAAATTTCCCCCAACTGAAATAAAAAAGAACTTATTTAAAATACATAGTATATCACATTCTTACTTTGTTGTCAATAATTTGTTCCAATTTCTAGTTGCCAACTCGAAGCTAGAAGAGGATTTGTTTTTAACTCCATA